TATGCCACGCACTGTCTAGTTGGAGTAATGGTTGGCCTTGCCTTCAGGGTAGTCTGAGGCATAAGATCAGAAAGGAACAGATGGCAGCTGTTTGTAGAGAGAAGTGATCGTTGGCAGAGGGGTGTTGAGGGGAGAAAGCAAGGAGGGGAGGCCTCATGCAGCTAGTAGGGATGGCAGTAACAGGCTGAGGACACAGAAGGCCATCAAGTCCTGTTACCTTAGATGGGGCAGACTTTGTTGAGCAGCACACCACTTATGTCAGGTAGGCGGTGATGAGGTCGGCTACCGTGGAGACAGTGTGGAGAATCTTGAGTGCCTTCTGTCGGTCTTACTCTGAGATTAGGATGTAGGCTCATTATAAGAGAGTAATAACAGAATGATATGGTATTTTAGTTTATGAAAGACTTGCCACTAGATAAAATTTTTCTAGAATAACGGAATAATCATTAAGAAAAATCTAGGTTGTGCCGGGCGCGGTGGCTCAAGCCCGTAATCCCAGCACTTTGGGAGGCCGAGACGGGCGGATCACGAGGTCAGGAGATCAAGACCATCCTGGCTAACACGGTGAAACCCCGTCTCTACTAAAAATACAAAAAACTAGCCGGGTGAGGTGGCGGGCGCCTGTAGTCCCAGCTACTCTGGAGGCTGAGGCAGGAGAATGGCATAAACTCAGGAGGCGGAGCTTGCAGTGAGCTGAGATCTGGCCACTGCACTCCAGCCTGGGCGACAGAGCCAGACTCCGTCTCAAAAAAGAAAAAAAAAAGAAAAATCTAGGTTGTTCAGTGTCTCTTCTATATTTTCCAAGTCTGTAAAGGTTTGTTCTACGTTTAACAACATTGTACCAGAATGGCCTTTCAAAGACTCTCAAAGGCTTGAAGAAAAGCTGGTGGAGTACATTCCCTAGTACATCTCCTGAGGGTCCATTTGTTCTGCTGTTTCAGAGGTGGTGCTCATTGACTTTTGTAGGTGTGTGTCTGAAATGTTGTTCCTTGCAGTTATTGAACAAACCACTGGGTGATGCTAGAAGACTTGATTTTAATACTGTGGAAGAAAAACAGTGAAACTGCTTTTTAACCTGCCTGCGCCTCAAAATAAGCAAACTGGAAGCTGGCGTCGATTTAAGGGAATGGTTGAGGTAGAAACTAAAGGTTTCTGTCTGACCAGTTCACACTGTTTCACAAATAAATGCTGGAAAAAAGTCGGTTTATAGTTTATTTATATATCCTCTGATTGCATGGAGATTGAATGGTCAAGCTTCCATGCCATGCAGATTATTCTGGGCACGTAACTCAGTTAGGAACATGACAGGAGGCCAGGCACAGTGGCTCACACCTGTAATCCCACTACTTTGGGAGTCCAAGGCAGGCAGATTGCTTGAGGCTGGGAGTTCAAGACCAGTCTGGTCAACGTGGCAAAAACCCTGTCTCTCGACTTTGTCTCAAAAAAAAAAAAGCTATGTTTTCAGACAGAGCTGAGTGCAGCCAGTTCTTGATTGCTCTGCACCTGCTTTCCTTTTAAGAGTGAAGTTAGCCTCCACTCTTAAAGCATGTTTTTGAGTCTGTTCGAATGGGTCAACAAGGAAGGGAAGTTTCAGGCAGATCTTGTATGCCTGGCCCTGGTGGCTTCCTTCATTTCCTTCCAGTATCAGTGCTAAACAGGAGTGAATGTCTTCAAGCCCTGTCTCACCCACCTCTGGCATCTTCACCCTGACTCTGCCCTAGAAGACCTTTCCTCCCATATCGTCAAGAAAACCAAAGTTGGTGTTTCACTTCTTCTCCCACCCAGAAACTTGGCTGCTGCATCTTCCTGGATCCCTAGCTCCTTGCACCCCATGATCCTGTCTCCTTCCTCAGCCCAGCTTCTGGCTGAGCACCCTCCACTTACTGTCTTCACTCCTACACGCTGCCCCTGCACGCTTCTCGCTTTTCTACCCTTCCTGCCCTGTACTCTGGGACCTGTGCGTATGTTTGTGTAATTATCAATCTGTCAAACCAGGGAGATTGAGGCTGCAGTGAGCCGTGATCTCGCCACTGCACGCCAGTCTGAGTAACAAAGCAAGATCCTGTCTCTAAAATAATAATTATAGTTGGTGACACACATCTGTAGTCCCAGCTACTTGGGAAGCTGAGGCACAAGAATTGCTTGAGACCCAGAGGCGGAGGTTGGAGTGAGCCAGGATGGTGCCACTGCACTCCAGCCTGGGCGACAGAGTGAGACTGTTTCAAAAAAAAAAAAAAAAAATCAGTCACTTGCTGGTCTTTGGATATAAATATACCATTTACTGGTGTCATCTGGGTACCTTTTACCAACATCTCTAAAACTGAACTCATCACTACATGAAACAAAAAATAACCTGCTCATCCTGTTGTATTCCTGCTCTAGCTGGATAGCACCGCTGCCCCAGCCAGTGAGAACCTTCTAGTATCTCTCTTCTTCCTCAGCTTCCATTTGGTGTCTTCAGCCCCTGACCTTTCCAGAGTTTCTGCGGCCCTTGGATTCGGCTAAACATCCTTCCCCCATCCCCCAACACCCCTTCAGCTTAGCCTGTACAGTGTGTGTTTGGAGCCAGGGACATCACAGTTTGTCCCTTCACTGGTCTGCGAGCTCGCCTAGGGGAGGACCATCTCGCATTCATCTCTGTGCCTTGCTTACCCGGTGCCCACGCCATGGCTCACGCCTGTAATCCAAGCACTTTGGGAGGCCAAGGCAGGTGGATCACTTGAGCTCAGGAGTTCCAGGACCAGCCTGGCCAACATGGTGAAACCCTGTCTCTCCTAAAGATACAAAAATTAGCCGGGCGTGGTGGTGCACATCTGTAATCCCAGCTACACGGGAGGCTGAGGCAGGGGAATCACTTGAACCCAGGACACAGAGGTTGCAGTGAGCCGAGATCGCACCACTGCACTCCATCCTGGGTGATAGAGCAAGACTCGTCTCAAAAAAACCAAAGTTTCTATGTTAGAAAGATAGCAGGTTTTGAGTCTTAAGGTTAGGTTAAAAAAAAATGTCATTTGATACAAAAATACTATGGCGAAGACTTGGAATCATGCTAGAGTTTTTATTTGAGACACTATGCCTTTACGTCATTGATGGTTATTTGAAAATGCACATTTTTAACACTGCGATTATATTAGTTGTTCTGTGGCACACACTAGAAATGATAGACTGTTGTGATGATATGGTTTAAAGACAAATGTAAAAATCTACTGTAAATAGACTTTAAGCCTGTGGGGAAAAGTAAGTATCTGAAACCTTGGAATAAAAGGGATTGTTAAGTGAAGCCTCTCATATATTGAGGAAAGGGCTCAACCTCTTGAGTCAGGTAGACCCAGGTTCACAGGTCATTTCAGCTGTTATGTGACTTCAGTTTTCTCGTCTGTAAAATGGGGGTGGTAGCTATCTCTGACAGTAGGGTTTTTATGATAATTATGAATAATATACACAAAGCTTCTAGCACAGTGTCCCCCACATGACAGGCGCTGTCTCTGCTGGGTGTCGTCACATGCAGGCTTGGGGTTCAGTTCGTAACTGATGCATTATTCATTTATTTCAAGGCCCAGTTCTGTATTCCATATTAAGAGAGAGAGAGCTTTGCAAACTTAGTCTAACTGAACACATTCCTCAGAATCTGTAATGTTTTCCTTTCTGCAGAAGAAGAGCTATGCGGAAATGATGCCCTACGCTGCTTCAGTTAGAAGGAAGAGGACATTTACTCTCATAGGAAGGAAGGAATGAGAGGGTGTGTGTGTGTGTGTGTGTGTGTGTGTTGAATTTTGCAAATTAATTTCTTCATTTGATTAGTGCCGAAGTTTGGGATCTGCCAGTACAATGTAGTTTAGAAAAGAAAAGCTTATTTTTGAGCTATGCCTTACATGGATGCTAGTATCAAGTATATGCCATTTTGGTTTTTTTTTCCTATATACAATTCGTTTATTTATTGTACTTTATTTTTAAATGAATTTTTTATTTTTGTTGGTACATAGTAGGTGTATCTATTTGTGGGTTCTATGATTAGTGTACAATTGGCTACAGATTGTGGAGTTGAGGCCCTGGCTATGCTACCTGGCTCCTGTGTGATCACAGGTAAGTTAGTTAGTCTTTGGGAGCCTCAGTTTCTTTTTTGGTGAAAGGGGCAAGGTGGTGGTACTCCTAGATTACTAAGGATTAAGTCCAGCCAATTAACATTTGTAAATTGTAAAGAATGTGCTAAGTGTGGAAGGGTTTATAAATTGTAGCCATCACCATTAGAAGATTCATAGTGGGACAGGGGGAGATCTTGTTTTGAAGCATTTCTGATGGTTAATTCTATAAAGATGACATTCGCAGCTGTTTTAATACAGAAAAAGAGTGATGTCCACTCAGGGTGAACCCGAGGCTAAGCAGCGTGTTTGTGAATGGAATAAGGGAATTACAGTGTATAAAACAGTTGCTAAATTGGATTTCTAGTGGACAGTTTAATTCGTAGGAGACTGTTGTCTCTGAAAGGAATATCTTGACTCCCTGAACAGCCAGTGAACATGCACAGTGATGTGTAGGGTCAGCATTAGATGCTGGCGATGCAGAGAGGACCGAGACACGGATTCTGCCCAGACATCTTTCTGTCTAGTGTCTGAGACGCCTTGCTGCTAATGAGATACACCTGGCTAACAGTGTTTAAGGAAAAAAGGCTGTATCTCTCAAATCTATTCTCTCATAATGATACTGTGTTCACATTTTTTTGTTTCTCATTAAAATAGGTAGTTCTTGTGTTCCCTAATTCTGTTCCCCCCAGGAAGATTAAATGTTGCTGTTTGAGGGAAAAGATTAATTTCAGAAAAGTTTTAATTAAATAGTGTACTTGATGTTGAACTGAATGAATCCTTAACAGTATGCATTTTCTTTGGATGTGTGCTTTATTGAAGGGATTTTAAATGCTCTCCCAGAGTAGAGCATATGAAATGATTTGAATATTCTTCACTAGATGTCGTTGATTTCTGAAATGTGCTTCTTCCCTCTTTCAGAGTTACTGGAGAATGTAACCCTAATCCATAAACCAGTGTCGTTGCAACCCCGCGGGCTGATCAATAAAGGGAACTGGTGCTACATTAATGCTGTATCCTTCCTGGACGCCGTCCGCAAGGCCAGCGTGTTGCAGCTCTCCCTCCTTTGGGTGACTTAGTTCAGCCTCCGTGGGCCATCTGGCCCTACATTTGAATCCCCAAGCCTGGTTTATTATGACTCGGTCCGCCTACCTTGCTTATAAACAGGGTTATTCCTGGCCGCAGTCCGTCTCCCTCTAAAAGAGAGGATCTGTTGGCATATGAATGAGGGCTGCAGACAAGCTGACTCTCATTCGAGTGGTTACAGATCATAGGGCAGAGTAGCCACTTACAACTGGAAATTTGGTTTTAACTCATTGAACTATCTTGGATAAGTCAAGTTCTTGAATACAAACGATTGACTGCTTCGTAGATCCTCATATGGACATCACAGGAAAGTTACCCTAGTAATGATTTGGTTCATTCCTTTTTGTGGTGACGTGTCTGAGTAGTTCAATGTCCCTAGCCTACTTAGGTTTTCAGAGATGTTCTTGTGCTAAACGTGCCTTTAGGAAATGTGGTGTGTCTGTTTCATTCCTTTACGCTTCCTTACTGCCACTATGTAGACACTGCAGGCACTGGTTGCTTGCCCGCCGATGTACCACCTGATGAAGTTCATTCCTCTGTATTCCAAAGTGCAAAGGCCTTGTACGTCAACACCCATGATAGACAGCTTGTAAGTAAGGTGGTGAAGGATGTGTTATGTGGTGGGGTTTTTTCCCCTCTGATAATTAGAATTGAAATAGTTTAGTAAAGCTCTTGATTTCCTGCCAGTGAGTCCTATAATTCTGTCTTTTATAAAAAATAGATTGTTCGTGATTTTATATGGAAGTTAACCAGAAATGGAATTGGAGCATTATCTGTGTTCTTTAGATTCAGTAGAAAATATTTTTAGTGTTTACCAGCATATATCACTTAAAATAGACCAAAAATGCATATAGAAAAGACTTGAGTTCACTAGCTATTACAGCATTGGTTACCTAAAATCTACTATACTCGTATAGCTGATATTCTACTTAGCCATCAAAGGTCTTTAGTAAAAGTATATATATACTGTTTAAAACTGCACTATTTAATGTTTTTTCCCCATGTTTAGTGTTCGGCTAATGAATGAGTTTACTAATATGCCAGTACCTCCAAAACCCCGACAAGGTTAGTAAAAATGAGTTTTGTTGATGCTCTTACATATTGGGAGTTATGGAGACAGATGACTTAAATTTGGTAAATTCATTCATGGTGGGAAGAAAATGTCTGTACACCTGTGCCATTCTCAGCGTTCAGCCGGGTGGGGGGTGGGGGATTTTGATAAGGTTGCTTTTTTCATCATTTGTGACTTCATTGTCGTTAGGAAAACCTGTGTCCTGTTTCCATTGCAGCTCTTGGAGATAAAATCGTGAGGGACATTCGCCCGGGAGCTGCCTTTGAGCCCACATATATTTACAGACTCCTGACAGTTAACAAGTCAAGCCTGTCTGAAAAGGTTTGAGACTTCTCTCATGTCGCTAGGATCAAGTGTTACCTTTTTTCCCAGTATTTATGTGGTAACTGTTGCTTATTCGATATTTGCCCTCCGTCTCCAGCGCTGTAAGTAGATGTAGGTTTATAATAGAGTCCATTGCTTGGATGAATTGAAGAGTGGCCTTGCTCACACTCTTCATCATCTGACCTTGCTCAGATAACTTCTATGGCGCACCAAGCACTGCTGTCAGTACTTTACGTATATTAACTTAGTTGACTCTGTGAATAAAGTATGATTATGGTCTCCTTCTTACAATTAAGAGAAGTGAATACACTGTCTGAAGTCATATAGCTAATGTGCATGGCACAACCCAGCTTTCAAGACAGCTCTCTTAACCACTGCACTATATGCCACTGGGGTAGAGTGGAGTGCATTGGGCCTGGAATGATGGCAGTATTCAGAAGAGCTTATGTCTTCATCATACTTACACGCTTTAGTAGCTATTTGATGTGCTTGATTCCTTTACCTAAATTTTTTTTAAAATCATGTATTTTGTTACTACAGGAATGGGACCAAGGGGCCAGGGCGCCCTTATAAAAGGCCCTGGGGCTGTTGAGAGTGAATTGAGCCACCCTTAGCACAGTTTACTGTAGCATTTCTTTCCTCCCAGACTGAGTTGGTGATGACTGAGTACAAGCAGTTGAAATGATGCTTAGGGAGATGTATTCAGAGAGAAAACTGGTTGAGAAAAATGCCATTTAAGTCAAGTTTACTTGAAGCTTCCTTGCTTTGAAGAAGAGTAAATGTCGAGGGCATCGTAGCAGGATGCCACCAGGGGCAGCATAGATTTTTAAGCTCTTTAAATGCTTATAATGCAGCTTTTGGTATTGGCTTGGAATTATTTCCCAAGTAATGGGAACATGGTATTAGGGATGCAGAAATGGAATAAAGTGTGCCCTCTGCCCTCAGTGAGGGAATGAGATAAATGAATAGTCCACAAGAGAAGTACAAAGATACAGAGATGCCTTAGAATCCAGATGGGGCCACCTAGCTCAGGTGGAGGCAAAATAAAGTGGGTGCTCAGGAAGCCCTCTAGAATCATACACAGAGATAATGCTATGAACAAAAGCATCTTTTAAAGGTGACATTAATATGGGATGTGTTGGGCTCCCCAAGACCACCCTGAGGTTTGGGTGATTCACAGGAAGAACTCGGAAAATGTAGAAGCTGGTACACATGTGGCTATGGTTTATGACAACAAAAGCATGCAAAGCAGAGTCAGGAAGGGAAAGGACAGATGAGGCGGGGCCTAAAGGAAACCTCCAGACTCCTCTCCCAGTGCAGCCAGAAGGCTGCACCTAACTACTCCAGCATGAGGCTGTGACCACACATGTGAAATGCCGCCTCCCAGGGAAGCTCATTACAGACTCCGGGTCCAGAGTTTTTACTGAGGGCTGGTCCCATAGGTACCATCTGCCTAGCTTGAACCAAAAGTCCAAACTCCCAAAACAAAAGCAAAAGTGTTAGCAGAAAGCACATTGCTTGCGCAAACAGGTTTTGGCAGAATCCCATATCAGTTATTGGACTGATGGGGACCTTGCTGAAAACCAACTTCCCAGACACCAGCCAACGTTGCAAGCAGGCCTTTCCAAGGAGAGCCACCCAGGCCTGCTGTGAAAAGTCTTCAGCACACTTTGGCTGTGCCAATTTTTGCCCTTTGCTGCACATGTGCAGAGCATGCACTCACGTGAACAGCTGCTGTCCACATCTACTATTTGGAGAGGGCAAGTAAACTTGAATGCAGTAGATGCTTCAGACAGAACAATTTGCAGGGCCTTGGAACAGGCAGTTGTGCTGTGAAGAATGAAATATGAACTGATGATAAGTAACAGAATCAAACACTCCTGATGTGGGATTATTAAACTCTTGAGTGACTCATCTGTGAATGATTTTGCTGATGTATGTGTAAAACAGCTAACGCTTTAAATCAGTGGAGTTTTTCCACATATAGTTTGAGTTCTTTCCCGTGTAGTTGTCCATCATCAAAGACAGACAGAAGCAGACATAGGGCTGCTTAGTTCACTGCTTGAGTGGTAACAGTAGTTGAACAGTGAACTGGCCCTAGACATCTAGTTCTTCGTCTTCTATTTTGTTTACCCAAGACAGAATTTTTTTTTTTTAGTAACTTTTTTGTGATAAAGTCAATGTGGCAGGGTGTGGTGGCTCATGTCTGTAATCCCAGCACTTTGGGAGGCCAAGGCAGGCAGGTCGCCTGAGGTCAGGAGTTGGAGACCAGCCTGGCCAACATGACGAAACCCCGTCTCTACTAAAAATACGAAGATTAGCCAGGTATGGTGGCACACACTTGTAGTCCCAGCTACTCGGGAGGCTGAGGCAGGAGAATCGCTTGAACCCGGGAGCTGGAAGTTGCACTGAGCTGAGGTTGCACCACTGCACTCCAGCCTGGGTGACAGAGTGAGACTTTGTCTCAAAAAAAAAAAAAAAAGTAATATATATTTATTGAAGAAAATTTCGAAAATATAGAAAAGTATAAATAATAAAAATCCCCATTTAGAGATATGTGTTTAATCTGTTTCTCCTTTTCTTCCCACTCTTGGGATTTCAGCTATGCAAGGAAAACCCATGTCATCATGTCATTGTTTGGAAATACTTTACATCTTCCATTTCAGAGGTGGCATTATTGGACTTTGCAAGTACTGTATGTCCTGCAGGCCTTGGACAGTGATCGGTTCACACTAAAGTGATTATATTTGACCTTTTCAGGGTCGACAAGAAGATGCTGAGGAATACTTAGGCTTCATTCTAAATGGACTTCATGAGGAAATGTTGAACCTAAAGAAGCTTCTCTCACCAAATAATGAAAGTAGGTTATGGTCCACTTGCCCCACAGAGTTGTGCAAGAGTTCGCTGTAAACAAGCGTTGCATGCTCATATGTTATGTTGCTTCCCTGCCCCTCAGTTGTTTTCCCTTCGAATAGCATTTATTCCTTACGATAACTTACACCATCGAGAAGGTTATATTTAGGTAAATTACAGTTTATCCCGAACTTCTGCCATCTTCCTTCAACTTTTAATTAGGAAAATGATCAAGTATATAGAAAAGCTGAAAGAATCGTTTGATGAATACCTTTATAATTGCTGAGTGTAGTTTTAAGCATATTTTCTGATGCTGTACACACACTGTATATATATGTACTATGTCTGTCCTGTCTATCCGTCCTATCTATCCGTCCATATATACATACATACGCATACATTTTCCCTGAATGATTCAAAGTTAAGTTGCAGCTAACAGTCTAGTTCATCCCAGGTGCTAAAGCATCCCCTGAGAATCCTCTCCTGCATAACCACAGTCCCTTATCTAACTGAGAAAACCAACTGTAATGACATGGTAATATCGACTTTGCAGAGCATCTTCACATTTCTCCAGTCAATCCCAGGAGTGTCTTTTCTAGGAGTTTATGTAAGCAAGGATCCGGTGGTGGTGCACCTGTTGGCGATTGGTTGCTGTGGATCCAGTGCCGTTGTGCCTGTTGCGATTGGTTGCCGTGGATCCAGCAGCGTTGCGCCTGTTGCGATTGGTTGTCATGGATCCAGCGGCGTTGCGCCTGTTGTGATTGGTTGCCGTGGATCCAGCGGCGTTGCGCCTGTGTGATTGGTTGCCGTGGCTCTTAATGTAGAACACACCCTGATTTCATTTTGAAAGCTACAGTTGACAGATCTGTGCCTTTTTATTTTTTGCTATTCTTGTTGTAAATAGTAGTCTAAGTAGATGCTCTCCTTTTCAGAACTGACGATTTCCAATGGCCCCAAAAACCACTCAGTCACTGAAGAAGAGCAGGAAGAACAAGGTGAAGGAAGCGAGGACGAGTGGGAGCAAGTGGGCCCCCGGAACAAGACTTCCGTCACCCGCCAGGCGGATTTTGTTCAGACTCCAATCACTGGCATTTTTGGTGGACACATCAGGTTTGTGCTTTTCTAGAATAACTTAATATTTGCCTTTTCCAGGGTTTCGCCACGTTGGTGAAGGGGGGAAGGTGTGAGGCTTGTCTTGAGACTTCTTGGACATGATGTTTTGTATCTTGCTCCCCTGCCTGCTCTTCTCTTGCACTTCCTGATGCCTCCCGAGTCAGCCCCCACGGCCCATTCTCTGCCTGCTGGCGCATGTCTGCAAAGGACAGGGAGCTCCTCACTTCTGCTCCGTCAAGTTCAGCTGCTCATTGCTAGGGAGTAAGAGAAAAGCCAGCTAATTGGCCGTACGCCGTGGTTCTTGCCTGTAATCCCAGCACTTTGGGAGGCCAAAGAGGGTGGATCACCTGAGGTCAGAAGTTCGAGGCAAGCTTGACCAACATGGTGAAACCCTGTCTCTACTAAAATACAAAAATCAACCAGGTATGATGATGGGCACCTGTAATCCCAGCTACTCGGGAGGCTGAGGCAGGAGAATCGCTTGAACCCAGGAGACAGAGGTTGCAGTGAGCCCAGATTGTGCCATTGCACTCCAGCATGGGTGACAGAGTGAGACTCTGTCTCAAGAAAAAAATAAAGATATAGGAGAATATCATCATGACTTGGGGGTAGGCAAAGGTTTCATAAGTTAGGTCATAAAAAAGTAATAACCATAAGAGAAAAAAATATATATATATTTATTAGACTTCATCAACATTTAAAACTTGTAACATTAAAACTGTCTCCAGTAGGCAGAAGTTGTAGTGAGCCAAGATTACACCACTGCACTCCAGCCTGGGTGACAAAGCGAGACTGTGTCAAAAAAAAAAAAAAACCCAGCTAGTCAAACCATGTGTTTTGGTAAGAGCAGAAATTAATGTATCTGGAGGAATTTCATTTATTTATGTTAATAAATTGTGTATATTTAAAGTATACACAAGATATTACAAAATAGAGATAGTAAAATAGTTGCTAGAGTGAAGCAGATAAACATATTCCCCATCACAGTTACCCTTGTGTATGTGTGCACATGGCAGGAGCAGCTGTTTACCCATTTCACAAAAGTCCCAAATACGGTGCACTATGAGGAGCTCTTGTCCGATGTTCCACATCAGATCTCTAGGCCTGTTCACCTGTGTCGCTACCACTTGGTGTCCTTCGACCTACATCTCCCATTCCCACTCCCCACCCCTAGGAACCACTGTTTTCCCTATCTCTGTAGTTTTGTCTTTTTTTTTTTTTTTTTTTTTAAGATTCCATGTATAAGTGAGACCTTGCAACTTTTCTTTCACTGTGTCTGCTTTATTTAACTTAGTATAACATTCCCCAGGTTCATTTGTGTTGCGGCAAATGGCAGGGTCTTTTTTACAGCTGAATAGTATTCCCTTGTATATATATACACCAGTTTCTTTATCCATTGGCCCATCCACAGACAGTTGTTTCCCTTTTCGGCTGTTGTGAACTGATTGGAACCGGGTGAGCTAGAGAGTGAAGGGAGTCTGAAGGGAGGTCTTTTTTACACGGACGGACACGTGACTGGGCTGGAGGCCCTGGCACCTGGCTGTGTGCCAGTTCCCTTAACCAGCTTTTTGCCCATTCACAAAGTCCTTGGGAAAGGTTTTTCTTTATTTACCTGAGAGCTTTTTAGTACCACTGTGATGTGGAATTCAGCAAAACTTGTACCATCTCCAAGCAGGTTTATCCATCGAAAGTACTGAAAGGGCCTCATTGCAGTCTGATTTCCTTTCTGAGGCCTCGCAGCATAACCCCCAGGCTGGCATTTCAGTGACACTCTTAGTCTTGCTGTCCCAAATGCTGTGTACCTGGAAGAAATACCACTCCTTTTAAGGCATCAAGACTTGATTCAGTCTCTCACTTCTGAGATTGAATCAGCAACTTTCAACAGGTGAATAATAAGAACCTCAGAAACCTGCACTGACTCCCTCAGAAGCTGGTTTCTGGTCCTCCGTGGAAGTGGATTTAGAAGCCAGTTGAGCAGCCATGTGACCTTGAACAAGCCACTTCTGTGCTCTGCGCCGTGGCTCCGTTCCACCGGCCCCTTTCTATTCTGGTGCTCTGTGGGGTGTCCACGGCAGCTGTGTGGTCAGTTGTCGCCTGGGAAACGCCTAGCCCCGACCACTGCCTGTGGTTCCTTGGGACATGTGGTGTTGGCAGGGAGGCACCAAGGTCCAGGTTAGTGTGCAGCAGTGAGGGGCGGCTGTGCCTTTTGCTCCTTCAGCCCAGCAGCCTGGTTTAGGATTGTGGGAACACCCCCTCGGGATGGGAGAGAAGGATGAAGGGACAGCTCAAATGGAGGCATCAGGAACATGGTTTTCGTGCAGAGGTCGGGTATCAGAATTTCAAGGCCCCAGAGGGTCAGCATACTCAAAGATCCCAAATTTGTCTAAGAGTAACCAGTGGAAAATACCAGCGTCCACTTTGGAGGACTTGCTGGCTCAGATCGAATGGCTCTGTCATGGCTGCTAGCTACATCCTCTGAGGGTTCTCTGTGTTGAAATTGGTTGTTGATGTTTCTTTTTGAAAAACAGTAAAGCAAAGATAAAGAATTCTTACAACATAGGAACTTCTTTTCAGCCATTATGAAGCATGATTCTTTATTCACACCAATTGAAAGATTTTCTTCTAAAACTCAGCCTCTTCAGATGTTTTTCAGTTTCCCCAGGAAGACCTTTCTTCCCCGGTGCCACCTTTGCTAAAACACAGGACCACTGAGTCAAGAGGGCTTCTTGTTGATTTCTCTACCAGCTCTCACTACAGTACCCCACTACTGTATCCCTCTCTGGAACCAGGGGAACTGTTGTCACTGAAGTCTTCATACTGTGAAGGAGCATGGAGATGCCTAATTAAACCCTGGACAGAAAAGCTTTTAGCGAGCTCTTCACCACATCTGTTCTGGAAAGCCTGAGTACCTGTCCACACCCATTTTATTCCGTTTAGAAACTAGGTCACTGAGACTGCAGAAATAGAAGCCCTTGTTGAACCCCTGGCATGTTCCCTTGCTGAGGCTAAATGAGAGATGGGCCGAACACACAATTTTTACTCAGAAAAACTTAGAAAAAGAAAAAAAAAATGAAGTGAAAAACCAGCTAAGAAAACAAGGTCAAATTGGCACCCTTCTTGGAAGGATGGCAGCCTTTTTTCCTGGAATGTTAACTTGTTTTTTATTCTACACACCCTACTCCCCTTCTTCTTTTTGTAAGACATTTTTATAGGAGGAAAATGCCATTAACAATCCTCTGTTTACCTTGGGATTTCCTCTGTTTTATTAGAACAGGCTATGATACTTGGAGAAAATGGAAAGCATCGGCATTTTGAGGCCATGGCAGGGTAGCTGCGTTTGTGAACTGGTGCAGTAAATAACAGTGTGGAGAGGAGGTGAAAGAATTTGGAAAATGAAATATGTTTTCTTCCAGAGCACTGGCGCTGGGAACATTTATCAACTGGTAGATTTAGTTGTTAGAAATACTAAGGAGGTGCTATTCAGCAGAATTATTTTTAAATTCAGTATATTTTTGGCTTTTCTCTGTGGTCTTTTGAAAGTGATACTGAATAATCTTATTTTCAGTGTTTATTCCTCTTGGTTAATCTTAAGGGAAAGTGGCAAGGAGTGGTCTCTTAATTTTTTTGTTTTTGCTTTCAATTCTTAGGTCTGTGGTTTACCAGCAGAGTTCAAAAGAATCTGCCACTTTGCAGCCATTTTTCACGTTGCAGTTGGATATCCAGTCTGACAAGATACGCACAGTCCAGGATGCCCTGGAGAGCTTGGTGGCAAGAGAATCTGTCCAAGGTTATACCACAAAAACCAAACAAGAGGTATGTTCACACTTGATTTTGAACCTTTCTACTGAGGTGCTCTGGTTTGGTGGAAAGAACACAGCATTAGGAATGAGGGGAAATGGATCTGAGTTTCGCCTCTCAAATCAGTTGCTTAACCGTTTTGTACTGAAAGTTTTTATGCTTTTATAATGAAATGGTTGAAACATGATCCCAAGGGCCTCTTTTAGCTCTAAATCATATTACACAAGGTAATGATCTCCTTTTGGATTGTTTATCTTGAGCTACATTTAGTTTTCTGACAATCTAATCATATCACAACATCAATACTACCTCTGACAGAGGCCAAGTAGCTTATTTATGTTCATGATACCGTAGGGTACAACTTTCATTAGATTAGTTAGGATGTCAAAGAGATTCCAAACACATCTGTTTTGCATTTGATTGTAGATCTTCCAGGTCATCGTAAAAATAATATAGTCATTGTTCTGATGCTTGTTACTTTGATTTGATCTGGAAAAGATAAGATCCTGAGTCTTTCAGTCTTCATGAATTTAAGACTATCAGATCATAGCTTGGTGGAGTTCTTGTCAACTCAGTCAGGCGAGACAGATAACATTCTGCCCTGTGAGAGCTGATTAGTTCCTGGCTATCCAGATGTGCCGGCTTATGACTGTTTTCTATTCTGCCGCAGAGAGTGTCTTCTCTGTTATGTATCTTAGGTTGTGGCAGTGAATTCATAAAAATGCACTGGGGAGATGAATGCAGGCTGATAATTATGGACAATCCATAGCATTCCTGCAAAGCGATATTTGAATAATGAGCAGTGGATGGCAGCTACAAGGTAAAGTAAGATGCCTCAGCGTAGAAGACTTGTCATCACATTGTATGAATGGGATGGATCTATCCTTGGCTTATCTTGCGTGCTCTGAGTCAAAAAGAGCAAAGTAGGACATCGGGACCCTTAGCACCTCAGGGGTGTCCTGCTGTGGACTGGTCCACCCAGGCTCTGGGGGAGAACTGTAGAAGTTATGCTTAATCTTCTGCCGTATTTGCAGACTTGCATCTCATGGGCGATTTTGTTTAAAAAATAGAAGCAGTAGGAGGAGCCCGAGGCAGAAATTTGGTAGTTGACTTCAGTGAATGAGCTAAGAAGAGTCTGGCGGTGGACCTCGTGGAAGAGAGAGAGGGAAAAAGTGGTATTTGTGTTGGGGAGGTTGGTTGGGTGGTTCAGTTGTGCATTGAGTCTGGATGACTGTCGGCTAGGCTCTCTTCTGTGGCAACTGCAACTCCAGAGATGGCTCCCTGGCCCTGGCTGCTGTTCCACTCTGCTTACGCTGTTTCTTGAGCCAACTATGGGAGTCTTTGGCCACCCACGCTGTTGGGGAGGTGGTCAGCCTTTCTGTGGGCTACCTAGGGAAGACCCTTTTGTAATGTGTCTGTTTTTCTCTTTTGCTTCTGCTGCAATTACAGTTTGACTTTGCTGGGGTGGGCTGGTAGGGGTGGTGGTGTGAGGGCAGGGATTGAGGCATAGGCAGTTGTCAGCCTGTTGTTAGATGGTAGTGAAGAAAGAATGGTTTGTCCTAAATAGCAGGTTTGAAGAAAGGCTTCAAGAACGACGGTGGGCCAGGTGTGGTGGCTCATGCCCATAGTCCTAGCACTTTAGGAGGCTGAGGCAGGAGGATTGCCTGAGCCCAGCAGTTTGAGGCTACGGTGAGCTATGATCGCACCACTGCAGTCCAGCCTGTGCGATAGTGAAACCTTGTCTCTAAAACTTAAAAATAAATAAAAATAAAGGAAAGCTGGCATTTTGGTGGACTCCTGAAGATAAAAAAAGAATGCTGCTAGCTGTTCTGGCTGCACGGTTGTTGTAGTGTGTCATCAGATGAGATCAGGACCACTCTGAACAACAGATGTTCGAGGAAGGTTTTGGACAGCCTGTATGGAAGTATCTGTAAGGAGCACATTACGTATTTTCTTGAATGTGATTTTTTTTTTAAGTTTTTAAAATACCAACTTTATTATGTTTTAGATTAGAAGTGTTTTTCTGTGGGAACATGTGAAGGTTTTGGGGAAAATAGGATTATATGAAATATTTGCTGTATAGAAAATGTCTGCCTTTATTGAGTGATTAGAAATTAAGCCTCAGTTTGTCTGGAAACCCAAAATACACATTTAATAATTTTGGATTAACCATTTAGTGAATCAACTGAGAGTGTTAACGTGAAAATCAGAGATCAGTAAGCACTGAAAAGCATCCTAGAGATAATTCAGCCCTGCTCTCTTAATTCACAAGTGAGGAGACTAGGTCTTACAGTCCCCATCTCTGCTTATAACTGTTGAGCTGTGTTCACACCCTTCATTCACTCAGAAGTGCTTGTTGGCTATGGAGACACTAGAACATAAAGATGCATGGGAATGTGGAGCTGTGCGAGGTGGTTTTTGCTCCTATGACCTTAGTCTAGGTGGGAAGACAGGCATGGAAGGGTCTGGAAGGTTAATAAACCCAACCAGTGATGACTTATGAGCTTGCCTAATACCCTTGAAAATGCTTTCAACTAGATGTGAATCTAGTTCTCTGACAGTTTTTAAATTGTGTTATATATGCTGCTATCTTTTGTATTGTTATTTTTAAATTACTCACACAAAAAGTATTCTCCAGGCCAGACGCAGTGGCTCACGCCTGTAATCCCAGCACTTTGGGAGGCTGAGGCAGGCAGATCACGAAGTCAAGAGATCGAGACCATCCTGGCCAACATGTTGAAACCCCATCTCTACTAAAAATACAAAAAGTAACTGGGCATGGTGGTGTGCACCTGTAGTCCCAGCTACTCAGGAGGCTGAGGCAGGAGAATCACTTGAGCCTGGGAGATGGAGGTTGCAGTGAGCTGAGATCACACCACTGCACTCCAACTTGGGTGACAGAGTGAGACTCCATCTCAAAAAAAAAAGTATTATCCAAATGAATATGGGAAGCATCAAAAAGTTTGTAAGTACAGAGAATGATAGATAAAGGGATTAAGTGTTATTTGTAAAGATGCATCTTAATAACAACCTGACTATTTAAAAGCAGCATTCATTAGACCTGTGAAAGTACTTCAGGAACAGATTAAATTAATAAAACTCATTATTAGAATAAATAGCTTTAAAGGTTATTTAAAACATCTGATTGGCCTGGAATCCCAGCACTTTGGGAGACTGAGGCGAGCAGATTGCTTAAGTCCAGGAGTTCAAGACCAGCTGGGCTCATGGCTGTAGTCCCAGCCACTCGGGAGGCTGAGGTGGGAGAATCACCTGAGCCCAGGAAGTCAAGGCTGCAGTGAGTGGTCATCATGCCACTGCACTCTAGCATGGGCAAGCAGAGTGAAATCCTGTCTCAAAAAAACAAAAACAAAAACAAAAAAAACCCCATCTAGTTGAAAAAACATACTGGTAGCAGTTTTATCAGTACTATCAGAGTTATTTTAAAATGGGTCAATACTAGGCCGAGCGTGGTGGCTCAGGCCTGTAATCTCAGCACTTTGGGAGGCTGAGGTGTGTGGATCACCTGAAGTCAGGAGTTCAAGACCAGCCTTGACAACATGGTGAAGCCCCTTCTTTACTAAAAATACAAAAATTAGCCAGATGTAGTGGTGGAAGCCTATAATCCCAGCTGCTCAGGAGGCTGAGGCAGGAGAATCGCTTGAACTCAGGAGACGGAGACTGCAGTGAGCCGAGACTGCACCACTGCACTCCAGCCTGGGTGATAGCGTGAGAACTCCCTCCCAAAACAAAAGGTGGAGGAGTCAGTACATAAATAAGGTGGTACTAAGTTAGCTTTTTAATTCTTATGCTAATTCGTCGGTAATGCCACAGAGTAAAGTTCTTAAGAGTTTAGGGCTGGACTTCAGGGACCCAAGAGACTCTCTGCAGTTGTGCTTACAGGAATGTGTGCATTTCTCTTCCTTTTCTTTTTTCTTTTTTCTTTTTCTCTGAGACAAGGTCTCATGGTGTTGCCCAGGCTGGAGTACAGTGGCGCGAACTCAGCTCACTGCAACCTCCACTTCTCAAGCGATTCTCTTGCCTCTGCTACCCAAGTAGCTGGGGTTACAGGCGCCCACCACCACGCCTGGCTAATTTTGTATTTTTAGTAGAGACAGGGTTTCACCATGTTGACCAGGCTGGTCTCGAACTCCTGACCTCAGGTGATCTGCGTGTCTCAGCCTCCCAAAGTGCTGGGATTAATAGGCGTGAGCCACTGCACCTGGCCATGTGCATTTTCTTAAGAGGAGCATTGGTAGTCTCAGAGCTTTTGCGAGGCAGGAAAAGCCATGAAGCCCTGCCAGAGAACTCTCAGGCCTCAACCCTCAGAGGACATCTTTGAGCGGAAGGTGGATGTGTTGTCAGCTGTTGCAAGTAAGACAGGGACGGTGTGTCCTGGTGTGCTTTGTGTCTTAGGTTGAGATAAGTCGAAGAGTGACTCTGGAAAAACTCCCTCCTGTCCTCGTGCTACACCTGAAACGATTCGTTTATGAGAAGACTGGTGGGTGCCAGAAGCTTATCAAAAATATTGAATATCCTGTGGACTTGGAAATTAGTAAAGGTAATGCACACATGAGGTCGGGAGTGTTCGTGGTGATACACTCCTGCAAATCAGTAGCTCAACCCTGTAGCATTTCTTTATGATGCCAAGAGTGAGGACATTCTCTTGCTGGACTTGGACTTGTTTTAAGTTTCTTAACTTGTAATAGACCTTAATACTAAAATTCTCATGAAAATGGCCTGTTAAAAACAGAGGCAAAAATAACTAAACTTTATAATCTTACTAGATTAGAAAAATAGGAGCTTTTGTCTATCAAAAAGAACATCACTTTTCTGTGAACATTTCAGAGATGAATGGTGCGTAATTTGCCTTACACTGAGTGTTAACAGCTGTGTTGACTAGCCCGGTTAGGTGGCTTTTTAGTGAAGTAAGATTGATTTCTCATAGGCGGTGAGAGTCCCTTCTAACCTCTAGTTGTGGTGGCGCACAAGTAGGACATGTGGCACTTACCAGCCTCAAGTCTCTGTCAGGTCATGGGCTCAGCACTTTTTGGAAGCAGTTTTAAAGAGCCCCGGGTTAAAGGCATCTTGGTAAAAGCACAGCTTCAAGAAGACTTTTCTTGAAAGCTTCAGAATTTGTGAAAACGTATAGTACAACACTGAGGCTTGATTGGGACTGTGATTAGCTAGAGAGGATTCTCAGAATATCGAGGTATCTGGGAAGCAGAAAAGAGGACACTGGACCTCCCTCCTGGGTCTTGTAGAGGAACAAGCCTGAACCGAGAAGCCCTCTTCCCCTTCCTCCCCCGGCACAGCAACCCCACCTCACACCTCCTTCCGTGTAGATGATCCAGGAACTGTGGGCATGGCTGGTTTCTAGCCGGCTTCCTCTCTACCCTAGGGGAGCCCTATACCTTCCCTTGAAGACTCAGACACTGTCTCTCCCAGGCCTCTACACAAGAGCTGTGCTCCCTGCTGACTGACTTGGCTGCTGTGCTGGGTTTAGTGTCCATTGCTCCTCTCACACTTCCAGCTGCTTTATCACTCATCAGCGGATTGCTTTTTAATCCCATTTGAGGACCAGCAAGAGGAAGAAAGATGCCAGTGAGAATCATGTAACAGATCCTCCTCCCCATTGTATTCTGTCCATCTGGAAACCTAGAATGCTGGCTGAGTCAAAGAAGGCATCCTCGACCTCTGCTCCTGCATCTTCACTCGCCTCCAGATCAGCTGTCTGAGCTGACTTGGATATTTTTCTACAGTGATTTTACTTTTATATCTTTTCTTGCTTGCTGTATTTTTATATCAGCTGCTGCCTCTAATACGTTATCAAAGTATGACATAAATGGGTGCTGGGCGCAGTGGCTCACGCCTGTAATCTCAGCACTTTGGGAGGCCGAGGCAGGCGGATCACCTGAGGTCAGGAGTTCAAGACCAGCCTGACCAATGTGGTGAAACCCTGTCTCTTCTAGAAACACAAAAATTAGCCTGGCATGGTGGCGGGCGCCTGTAATCCCAGCTACTTGGGAGGCTGAGGCAGGAAAATCGCTTTAACCCGGGAAGCAGAGGTTGCAGTGAACTGAGATCATGCCACTGCACTCCAGCCTGGGCAGCAGAGCAAGATTCCATCTCAAAAAAAAAAAAAAAAAATTACAGAAATGGGGACAAGAGGATCTCACTTAGGTCATTGGGTAGGCAGTAGAGAAGGAACCACTGATGGCTGCCTCGAACAGCGCACCATCGATGGACTCTTGTGTCCATGGAAGTGGTACTTCTGCACGCAGTAAGAGCAGGGAGTTCGCACCTCGTAGTAGCTGGTAGACTGGTTCCTATTTGGAGAAATTGTGTTGCTGTTCTTTAATTGACGTTTTTTTGTTTGTTTTTTGTTTTTCTTCAAGACGGAGTCTTGCTCTGTCACCCAGACTGGAGTGCGGTGGCGTGATCTCAGCTCGCTGCAGTGTCCGCCTCCCATGTTCAGGTGATTCTCCTGCCTCAGCCTCCTGAGTAGCTGAGACAACAGCCACGCGCCACCACGCCTGGCTAATTTTTTTTGTATTTTTAGTAGAGATGGGGTTTCACTCTGTTAGCCAGGATGGCCTCGATCTCCTGACCTCGTGATCTGCCCGCCTCAGCCTCCCAAAGTGCTGGGATTACAGGCGTAAGCCACCGTGCCCAGCCTATAATTGAAGTTTTATGATCTGACTCATGTAAAATATTTTAATTATTGGATGTTTCATAACTGTTTTGTTTTTAAGTCAGCAGCGTTTTTCTTTTCCATTTTGTGGAGCACCTGCTTTTAAGGGGCCTCCCGCAGGAGCATCACAGCCTCGACCATTGCTCCTGTTTCTTCAGAGGCTGGCTGCGCATTTTGTGTCCTGCTACATCACATGGCTCATCTTCCTCATGAGTCAATTTTTATGCAGCTAAAGGGATGAAGTGTTGTTTTGTTCCTGGTCTGACAGGCGGTTTCCTTGCTGGGGAGAATGTTGTTAGCCATTTTTTGCTGCTGTTACCCTGAGCCTTTCTAAAAGTGCTTCAAGCCATTGATATTTTGTTTTCCAGAACTGCTTTCTCCAGGGGTTAAAAATAAGAATTTTAAATGCCACAGAACCTATCGGCTCTTTGCAGGTGAGTAAATTTGTACAACATTACTTCTTCAATAAAACACTGATGAAAGGGATTATATGTGGGCACAATTTTGCTGAAACACAACTTAGCATAGCGACCAGATGTTCTCCTTAGGTAGCCTGTGGCCTTGTGAGTCAGGGAGTCGTGTGAGAGTTTTACCTGAAACTCTGCGTAGATGACGGATTATCATCTTGGCCCTGAGGAGAGATAGCAGAAGACCTTGCTCAAAGTGAACATTTCTGTCTTTGAGTCAGAGGAGGGAGTTTCAGGCTCCCAGGCTGGCTGTTTGAGAATGTGACCTCTCCCTGCTGTGCTTGTGGCGCCTGTGGGTGGCAGTGCTGTGGAGTTTCCACGACACCTGGTCTCCCGGCCAGGTTGGGCGAGCGCGCCCCCAGCCAGTGATCCCTGCGTCCTCCTCCATAGATATTGTTAGGGCCGCTTGAGAGGGTGGGCCCAATTACACAAGCCCCTCGGCGGCCAGGCCCCCCAGTCGCTCATGAGAAATCTCCCAAGAGGGCGAATGGCACCCCCTGTTCCCTCATGGGTGGGCTTTGAGACCTCTTCTGTCTCCTGGCTTAGGCTCCCTGCAGTATCAGTTTTTCTTCCACACCTTCCCTTTCCATTCTGTCTTCCCTTCTATCCTCCTCTCTCTTTTATAGCCTCGTTTTTTATGCCTCTGAGTCTTGGCCTCTTTGGATCGTTGCTGTTTGCAGCACTTCTGTTGGCTTCCCAGGCTGTTTTGATTACATGTTTCTGGCTTCTGTGTCTTTCCTCCTCTGGTGTGGCCTTTGGTGAGCTGTTTGTATCGTAACATAACACTGCCATTTATTGACCTTCACACATGTATGGAACCTCTTCCCAAGATATTCTTTTATTCCTTACATGTGTCCTCGAAGATGGAAGGTGGGATCCCCATTTTATAAAAGAATCAACCAGAACTCAAGGAAAAAACTCACCACTCTGGCCTGCAGTGGCAGAGCAGGGCTTCAAGCTCCTTTCTGCCTCAGCTCACACCCAGTGTTTTAGGAAGTTTGGCCAGGGGTGAGGGCGCCAGGGGTGAGGGCCTAGGGGTGGGGGCCGGGGGTGAGGGTCCCAGGAGTGAGGGCCCCAGGGGTGAGGGGCCCAGGGGTGAGGGCCCCAGGGGGTGAGGGCCCCAGGGGTAAGGGGCCTGGGGTTGGGGCCAGGGGTGACGGCCCAGTGGGTGAGGGGCCAGGGGTGAGGGCCGCAGGGGTGAGGGCCCAGTGGGTGAGGCTCAAGGCCACACTAGAAGGGGCCAGGCTTCTCTCTCTCTCTCACTATTCACTCTTCCTTTTGACTCTCTTTCCTTTTCTCCCCCGATCACAATTCCTCCTCAACTTGCTGGGCCTCAGACAGGATGGCCATGGGCACCACGCGCTCCTGGGTGTCTCCAGCCCTGTCCGTCCGCTGCCTGGAATGGAAAGTCTGAGTCCTCAGACTCTGCAGCCAGCCAGTATCCAGCCCGGCTCCCTCGAGTCTGGCACCCAGGTCCCAGTGGGTGGCCAGCAGTTTCTCTGCCTTCTCCCTGCACCTCTTCCCCTGGGGGCTCTTGTGGGGAACATCACTGGGCAGGGGCAGGGGCTGGGGATTGCTCGTCTCCTGGTCAGGGCCCCAGTGTGAGCACACACACCCCACTCCCCCACTCTGCAACCTGCCATGCCCCAGGACCCCAGGACCTCAGGACCTGGGCCTGGGTTGCTCTCCCCTGCCTTCCTGAATCCTCAACCCCAACCCATTCTTTTTTGAGATGCAGTTTCACTCCGTTGCCCAGGCTGGAATGCAGTGGCACAATCTCCATTCACTGTAACCTCCGCCTCCCGGATTCAAGTGATTCTTGTGCCTCAGCCTCCCCAGTAGCCGGATTACACCACATCCTGCCAATTTTTGTATTTTGAATAAAGACGGGGTTTTACCCTATTGGCCAGGCTGGAAGCATATTCTGATCTTGGGGAAATGAGGTCACTGGACTAGTTAGAATTACCTATAGAATGAGCAGAGGAACACTTTTTAAGAACTGCTATGATGGTGACGCCCAGGAGAAGCAATCTCGCACACGAACTTTTCAGCCGGTTCTCAGCGCTCCTGTCAGGTGTGAGTGACACATGGCTTAGCCCAGGCTAGTTATCTGGGCTGCTGCTTACAAAACTAGAATGGTGACATGCAGTCCCCCCTTGAAATTTTAGAATGGAGATGTCTTGTGGGAAAGACAAATTAGTAAAACCCCCAAGTCCTGCAAATTCTACTGACAGTTGCTTTGAAACAAAACTCTTAGCCCAGTCAGTTAGGTCTGTGAGGTGAAGATCCAGGATGGAAGTCTCAAAGTGAACTTGGGATCTGGGGGACGTGCTGCTGTCATGAGTGCTTCCTGCCCTTTCACAGGATGGCTGTGACTTGTGCAGTACGGGATGAAGCTGTGCCCTTGGATTGACTGTGTCGCTGGCTTTCCACTGTATAGGCCCCACAGTCTTGCTATCCCTGTGCTATTCCGTGTCTTCCAGGGTCCCTGCACAGAGGATTTCTTTGTGCAGAGCCCAGGAGTCTGACTGGTGGCCTCAGTCGTAAGCACTGTCCTCTAGCCAGCCAAGGTCCCTGGCCCAGAGAGGACTCAGGCCTCCTGCCGTCATTTAGCCCCGCCACGTGACAGCTGCAACTAGGACCTGGTGATGTTTGACCTTGTTTTAGTGCTGAAATTTCCTAGCAGCGAAGTCTTACACCTCTCCTGGTTCCTGTTCTTTTGTGCCACTGATGGTGGACGCAGCTTAGCAGGCTTCCCTGTCATTCCTCCTGAAATGCCACCGGACTGCCGCCTTCCCCAGGCTGATGTCTGCTGCTGGCCAGGCAGACCTCAGCCCCTCTGCTCCATAGAAGTGGAGGATGTGGCTGTCTTTTAATGTTTTCATGACATCTTCTAACGGATTTCTTTTTAGGCCTTTGACTAAGGCTTCTTGGTTATAGGATCTTTTTTTAAAGTAAATAGCAAGTTGTGTGTGTGTGTTCTGTTAAAACATTATTATAGAAAAATGGAAAAATTTTTTAAAGGTAAATGCGTAACTACCAGCACTATCTCCGCAGTGCCCCACCACAGCTCCACGCCCAAGCGACCGTGATTAGCAGTCCCAGTGTCCCTCCTGCCGTGTGGGCCCGCACAGGGAGATTGTGTCTCATGTCGTTGGGATAAATGGGCCACGGAAGGCCTAAGGACCTTGTTTTCTCTTTTAATATACCACAAGTATATTCCTGCATCACCATTCTTAATCTATTCCATGAAAAAATAAATCGTGTTATTTTAATATAATTTACTCCTCAGTCATTTCTTCTAGTGGCCATTAAGGTTTTCCATTTTTTCACTGTTATAAATGACATCATAATCTCTGTCCAAGATTCAGATAATCTCTTCGGGACAGTCTAGAATTAGATCAGCCGGATCCAAGGGCATGAACCAGGTCTCTAAGTCTGTACAGCTGATGGCTGTGTAGGAGTGTCTTTGTGAGGTGTGGGACATTTTAAATATGTCGTTAATACGTGTACGTGCACACATGTGTATCTCTCTGACTTACCCTTACCTTGCAGTTACAGAAAAGGTTTTATGATGGATTGCTTGCATGTTTGAATTGAAATAGCATCGGTTTGTGTGATGACGTCTCTCTGTCCCACCTGCTTTGGAGAGGGGCTTCACACATAAGATGCATCCCTGGAGGGAAGTCGGCAGAGACCTGTGGTGGTGTGTGTGCAGTGCTGTTCTCACTCTGCCGCCTGCTGGGCTCTCTTGCAGTGGTCTACCATCACGGCAACAGTGCGACGGGCGGCCATTACACTACAGACGTCTTCCAGATCGGTCTGAATGGCTGGCTGCGCATCGATGACCAGACAGTCAAAGTGATCAGCCAGTACCAGGTGGTGAAACCAACTGCTGAACGCACAGCCTACCTCCTGTATTACCGCCGAGTGGACCTGCTCTAAACCCTCTGTGCGCTGTGTGTGCACCCAGTGCCCGCCTCGTAGGACGCCACCTCACACTCACTTCCCGCCTCTCTTTAGTGGCTCTTTAGAGAGAAACTCTGTCTCCCTTTGCAAAAGTGGGCTAGAATGAAAAGGAGATGCCTTGGGGTTCGTGCACAACATAGTTTCTGTTGACTCTAACTTCCAAATCAAAATCACTTGGTTGAAACAGACTGTCGCTTGATTTTAGAAAATCCACAAAAACCCATATTTCTGAAATAATGCTGATTCCTGAGATAAGAAAGCGGATTTGATCCCCAGTCTCATTGCTTAGTAGAATAAATCCTGCACCAGCAACAACACTTGTAAATTTGTGAAAATGAATTTTATCTTTCCTTAAAAAAGAAATTTTTTAATCCATCACACTTTTCTTCCCTACCCTTTAGTTTTTGATAAATGATAAAAATGAGCCAGTTATCAAAGAAGAACTAGTTCTTACTTCAAAAGAAAAATAAACATAAAAAATAAGTTGCTGGTTCCTAACAGGAAAAATTTTAATAATTGTGTGGAGAGAAACTGCTTACATACACATTGCAGATCAAATATTTGGAGTTAAAATGTTAGTCTACATAGATGGGTGATTGTAACTTTATTGCCATTAAAAGATTTCAAATCGCATTCATGCTTCTGTGTACACATAATGAAAACTGGGCAAATAATGAAGATCTCTCCTTCAGTCTGCTCTGTTTAATTCTGCTGTCTGCTCTTCTCTGATGCTGCGTCCCTAATTGTACACAGTTTAGTGATATCTAGGAGTATAAAGTTGTCGCCCATCAATAAAAATCACAAAGTTGGTTTAAAGGTGTGCGTGTTTCTTTGCATGCGAATGCCTTTTTGGGTAACGAATTCACGGGGTCACGAGTTTGCCTCCAGAATTAAAACCCACCCTTCAGTCAGCTCGACGTGTTTGTGGAAGCTGAACCACCACTCGGGTTATGTTTGTTTATTGTTTTCAAATGGATTAAGAAGTGATTTGGGTAAATGAGTTTTGACTCTTCCATTGGCAGAAAGGAGGAGGTTTTTCCCCTTCCCCTCCTCATCCCTTGTATCTGTAGCCCGGCATTTTCAGTATCACCGAAATAGTTGCTGTAGATGAAGGCTAAACGTTCTTCAATTGAGTGCCCCTGGGGTGGCTTAGCGATGCCTCCAGACGCCACCCTCAGTAGTGGGAAGGAAGCCTGAGACGCAAGACATGGAGAGAGGGACGTCATGTGAGAGGGTGCCTGTTCTCCGGCTTCTGGCCCTGTGTGGGTGATTGATTGTAGTGTCCTGAGATCTACAGAGAAGGGGTTTTAATGTGGTCAGAGCCTTTCAAGTTCTTCCTCTTACCATCTGGTGTTTTTAATTGTAGCCTGGTGCCACCCTGGGTGCAGAGATTCCTAAACTTACTGTACAAGTGTCTGTCTAACCTACTTACGCTTTGTAATTCTCTTTTGATTTGCTTGGCTGAATTATAAGTCATATTGAGAGGTGAAGCCAGCTGGACTTCTGGGTCCAGCGGGACTTGAAGAACTTTTCTGTCTTACAAGAGGATTATAAAACGCACCAATCAGCACTCTGTAGCTAGGATTGTAAAACGCACAAGTCAGCGCTCCGTAACTAGCAATAGGTTTGTAAAATGCACCAATCAGCGCTCTAGCTAGCAAGGGATTTGTAAAATGCACCAATCGTGCTGTGTAAAACGTACCAATCAGCAGGAGTCTAAAAGTAGCCAATCACGGGGAGGACTGAAAAAAGGGCACTCTGATAGGACAAAAACAGAACATGGGAGGGGACAAGGGAATAAAAGCTGGCCACCCCAGCAAGCAGTGGCAACCCGTTTGGGTTCCCTTCCATGCTGTGGAAGCTTTGTTCTTTTGCTCTTCACAATAAATCTTAACTGCTGCTCACTCTTTGGGTCCGTGCCTTCTTTAAGAGCTGTAACACCACGAAGGTCTGCCGCTTCATTCTTGAAGTCAGACCACGAACCCACCGGAAGGAACCAACTCTGAACCCAATATTGTAATTAGCTTCTCATTAAAATAATGTACAGTTCCCATGGAAGCCAGATTAACTTTGGGGCAACCACGCACACCAGCAGCAATAAGCCCGTGAAAAGATAAAACCCATCCTAAAGCACTTGGTTGAATGTGTACGTTGTGATGCTTGACCCAGCTCTGGCCCTCTGTCCTTGGTGGCTTATTCATCCTCACTCTGCCCCCAGCTTCCATGACTGGTGTTGATCATTCACCCTCCACAGTATAAAGTGACTTTGTCACTGCCGTGTCCCATGTGTGTGAGATTGAGTGTCCTCTCTGGAAAGGGGCCCTCCGATCTGGGAAAGCCTTTGCACAGGAAGCTGGAACGAGAGGCCAAACAAAGCATGTAGTTTTTAGGTCCACCAACCTGCTTGTAAGTCTTAAAAGCTGTCCGGTATATTCAGATGGAAGATTTCTCTCAGATGTCGTTCAGTGGTTTCTCCAGTATCTTTCATTTGCTAAGATACATATTTTATCAGTCCCAAAATAAGTTGGAAATGATTGCGCTCTAAAATTCCCTTTGAAAGCTCCCAAGTCCCTTTGAAGAGTGATTAGAGATTCACTCCAATGGGACATTGCCGTATGCTGGTCTGCCGGTGAAAGCTGGCAGTAACACATCTGCTCTGAGGGGTGCTGCCCTGTCTGGTGTACCTGGCCTTTTAAATTCAACTCCCTGGTAGCCAGCAAAGGGCTCCTCTGTTAACCCATCTATGCTGATAGAAAAATGCAAGCTAGCGCTAGCGAGACAGCCTGCAAAACTCCTGTGTTGGTTTGGGCTGTTAGAACAAAAATACCATAGTCTGAGTGGCTTAGACAACAAACATTTATTTCTCACAGTTCTAGAGGCTAGAAGTCCAAGAGCAGACGCCAGCAGACCTGTCTGGGGAAGGCCTGGAGACAGCCACTTTCTCACTGTGTCTGCACAGGGCAGAGCGAGCCCTCGTCTGTTTCTCTTACAAGGACACTCATCCCACCATGGGCCTCCACCTTCGCGATTTCATCTACACCTAAAAGGCCCCACGTCCTAGTATTCCACTGGGGGTTCGGGCTTCAGAGATGAATACCGGGGGGGACACAAACAGAGCCCATAACCTCATGCCGCCTGACTCTTGAGATTGTATTTGTGATGAACATGTGGCTGCCCACCACGTCTTTTTTTTTTTTTTTTTTTTTGCTCAGGCAGGATCAGCACATGCCCAGCCACAGACAGGGAAGCCCAGAGCAGGGCAGAATATGGTCCTTCAAGTGAATAATTGGCCCAGGGATACAGAATTAGGTGATTCTAGCAAATCCAGACATTTTCTAGGGTTCCAAGTGAATTGCGGGTCTGTCCCTGTTAGCTATTCTTGAGCTTTTGCACTCAACTTGTGACGGTTAATACTGAGTGTCAACTTGGTTGGACTGAAGGATGCAAAGTCTTGTTTCTGGGTATGTCTGTGAGGGTGTTGCCAAGGAGATGAACATTTGAGTCAGTGGGCTGGGGAAGGCAGACCCGCCCTCAATCTGGGTGGGTACCATCTAATAATCAGCTGCCAGCGTGGCCAGAATAAAAGCAGGCAGAAGAATGTGGAAAGACTAGACTAGTCTTCTGGCCTCCATCTTTCTCCTATGCTGGATGCTTCCTGCCCTTGAACATCGGACTCCACGTTCTTCAGCTGTGGGACTGGGACTGGCTTTCTTGCTCCTCAGCTTGCAGATGGCCTATTGTGGGACCTCATCTTGTGAGTCAATACTCCTTAATAAACTCCCCTTTATATATACATCTGTCCCTCTAGAGAACGATAACACACAACTTTTGTATTTTGTGTTGCAACGTTTAATGTTTTTGTAAGTTTCGTAGGACTGTTTCCTAACTTTAGGTTATTTACTTTGGGAACTTCGCTCATTAACCTTGGTGCTGAGGCTACAAACTTAGTGATTTTCCTTCATTATCATTTAACATGTCTTTGTAGGTGGCATTTAAATCAAAGTGAATGGTTACCTTTTTAGTATGTTATAGGGAGATTTTCCTTGCATTTGTCAGTTGTTGCCAACAAGACTTGGAAGTTCTCTTACAGGGAAGATGTCATGAAGTTTACCTGATTGGTGTGTTATTTGTCCACTAGCCAAGAAAGTGCAAGCCACGGTGGGTTTGAGGCAGGATGAAGACTGGAGGTCATTTCAGTCTCCATCGGTGTAACTATGGTTCAGCTGCCCGAGTGGCTCACAGTGGCATTCTGCTTTCATTTCTCTCTTTTTTTTTTTTTTTTGAGATGGAGTTTTGCGTTCGTTGCCCAGGGTGGAGAGCAGCGGCGTAATCTCAGCTCATTACAGCCTCCACCACCCAGGTTCAAGTGATTGTCCTGCATGCGCCACCACACCTGGCTAATTTTGTATTTTTAGTAGAGATGAGGTTTCACCATGTTGGTCAGGCTGGTCTTGAACTCCCAACCTCAGGTGATCCACCTGCCTCGGCCACCCACCGTGCTGGGATTACAGGCGTAAGCCCCCGTGCCCGGCCCCTGCTTTCATTGCTCGACGTCATTGGTCATCCCGTCCCCGTCTAATGTGTGGGCAATGTGAGCAGGAACTTTGCAGTCAGCAGAGGCATCATCGTAGAATGTCTTTTATTTGGTGACATTTCTGATTATTGCTGTCATAGACTGCTTATACTTGACCAGGCCAACTGGTTACAAAGTGACAAGCACAGTCCAAGTCAGTGGCTTTTGAACTATGGGAAATAACCCAATAAACCAGTGAGCTGAGCTCGTATTGTACAGCCAACTCATGTTCATGAGTCAATGCGAATGAGTAAGTTGTGGCAGTGTGGACACAGCAGTCTGTTGGCTTCATTTCTCTTGGGAAGTGCTGAGTCCATCAAAAGAACCAAAAACAGCAAGAGAGACAGAAGATTCACAGTTTTTCTGGTACCTCTCTGGCTCAAGAAGGAAAAATATCTTGTTGACTGAGCCTAGTGAAGACAGTATCGTTATACTAATTTCCTGAGGGTCAGTGGACTTAAAAGAGATTAGACAAAAATGTTAGTGTTTTTAAAATCCATGTCTAGCAAGACCATGTGGTAATAGCCAACTCTACACAAAGTGTTACGTTTTTCCTTATTGTATTTTATTTTATTTATTTATTTATTTTTTGAGACAGAGTCTTGCTCTTGTTGCCCAGGCTGGAATGCAATGGCACAGTCTCGACTCACTGCAACCTCCGCCCTCCAGGTTCAAGCGATTCTCTTTCCTCAGCCTCCCAAGTAGCTGGGATTACAGGCACCTGCCACCACACCCAGATAATTTTTATATTTTTAGTAGAGACGGGGTTTCGCCATGTTGGCCAGGCTGATCTTGAACTCCTGACCTCGTGATCCACCCACCTCAGCCTCCCAAAGTGCTGGGGTTACGGGCGTGAGCCACTGAGGCCGGCATGTTTTTCTTTTAAAATCAGTCATAGCAAAAGTCACCGAGCAGACACTGATCTGCCCTCTTCAGACATTTTCTCTGCTTCCTAGGAATAGTTTTTTTTGTGTGTGTGTTTGTTTGTTTGTTTTAGTGTTACTCATCTTTTAGACTGGCCATTCCCATCTTATTGACACCTTTTGGGGAAAAATTAACTTGCTCGAAAACGAAATGCACCCGATAGCATCTGCTGGCCTAACCTCATGGTGATGTTCCTTTAAAGAATACACAGATGAACAAGTGACCAAATGTTTCATTCTCTTTTCTGACTGTTTCTCTCCCTTTCCTCATCCCCCACCTCAACAAGACATGTTACATCATTTTAAGTAGCAAGTGTACATTTTTTCCAGTGGGATTTAATTTGTACGTTTGCTTCTTGGTCATACATGCGTTTTGTTTCACAGATTCAGTCGTGTCTCCTGTTGTACTGTGGTCAGGATAAGGGATCATTTGCTAGGCACTGATTTGCTGAACACAGTAGTATTTTGTCGAGTGGCCTTTCCTTGGAAACAACTGGCAAGTAAGCAGACCTGTAAATCACTGTACTGTATTTGCAGTAAAGGGAATTTACACAGTGCTTGCTGCTGTGGTATCTGCAAAGTATTTTATTTGACTCTAGGATTTCACACAGTGATATGCTTAAGATATTTTTACGTAAAAACTTTTCTTTTTTTTTAAGAGCACTCCAGCTGGCCGACGCAGGAGGAGACTCTGTCTCAACAAAAAAAAACAAACAACAAAAAAAAAAAAAT